AGTTCACTTCGCGAGATTGTTGCACGTCTAGCTGCATTGGACGGGATATCGATTGCTGCCATTACGAAGAGCAAGTTTATTCGAGAGTCAGCTAGAGGATTTAAACTGCCAACATCCAAATCCACGATAATCAAACTCATCCATGAGTTCTACGATGAAATTAAAAATCAGACCAAGAAGGAATTTCACGACAGGATCGTTGAAAAAAAGGAGCTCGTCAGTCTTACAACAGATGAGTGGACCAGTTCTGCTAACAAGCGATACTTGAACATTAACGTTCATTTCGCAGATGGTTCATGTTACAACCTAGGATTGTCTTGGATTCACGGATCTTTCCCAGCAGAAAAGATTGCCCATGCTATCGAACAAGTTACCAAGGACTTCGGCATTGACATTGGCTCTATAACGGCCGTAACATCTGACGCAGCTTTGGTAATGGTAAAATTTGGGAAAATCGTGCCATATTACCACCAGCTATGCTACAACCACGCTTTGCACCTTGCCGTACAAGACGTCATCAATCAAATGAACTCCAACGAATCCGAGTCCACGGCAAGTGAAGAACATTCTTCTTCTGAAATTCAGGATTTTGATTACGAAGATAGTGACAACGAAGACCGACACGATTATTCTGATAACGAAAAGTTCTATTCATCCGGTACGCTATGAACTTCTGTTATTTGTTTTTCATATTACTATTTTTTCTATCATTATCTTGTCATTTATTTTTCAGATTGCTACAATACCAAAACATTTGGAAAAACTCTTAAGCAGATCCGAAATGTAGTTCGGATGTTTCGTCATTCACCGGTGAAAAACTCGGTGCTGCAAAATAAAGTTGTTGGAAGATTCAAGAAACCTCTTCAGCTTTTGCTGGACGTAAAAACCTGATGGAATAGCACCGAAAAAATGCTGGAGCGGTATATCAAATTACATGATTGTGTAGAAGGAGAACTCGAAGAGTTGGGAGAAAGTTCCTTTGTATCCAGTGAAGATTTTATTTCGGTCAGATCCCTCTTTGAAGCTTTGCAGCCAATACGACTCGTTTCGGAAGCCTTAGGACGTCGAGATGCTACGTTGTTGACGGCGGAAGGTAGTCTGAGCTTTTTGTTATCAAAACTTAAGAGTATGGGCAACCCTATTTCAACGAAACTCTACGAGGCGGTTCTGAAGAGAATCAATGAGAGACGAAACATCAAATTGGTTTCACTTCTAAAATTTCTTCAGAACAGCATTGCCTCAACATCATCTGTTGAGTTACCTGGGATTTCACGCAAGTTCGTCAAAGAAGAATGTACTCGTTTTTTCACATGTACTTCCGACGACTAACATGAAGCAACGGTGGATGACACGAGTAAGAACCAACATCAATCTTTAAAGGACGAGTTGGAAACCATTATCCAACAGCATGCTGGATCTAGTAGCATGCCAACGACAGAAAAATTCGATCGCGGAAACATTGCTCAAAAGGTCATTCAAAAAGAGATTTCTCTTTACGAGTTGACCGGAGACCTAACAGCAGCTGGTCTGAAAATCTTGTTAACTGCTCTCAAATCCATCAAGCCAACTTCAACGGATAGCGAGAGAGCTTTTTCGGATTCGGCGAGCATCTGTTCCAAAAGGAGATCATCACTGTCAGATGCAAGTATCCATGAACTTTGCTTCTTGAAATCTTATTTTAAGAGGAGCAACTGATTATAACATGTTTGAGTCTATATTCATTCATTAATTTATTCATTGTTAAGTTTTAAAGTTGAATAAAAGCGTTAATTTTTGGAAAATAATGTTTTTTTAAAGCATATTAAAATTTCCCGGGATCCCGGGATTTCCCGGGATTCAAAAAAAAAAATACCGAATCCCGGGATTTTTTTAGACCCGGGAAATTAGACCCTCTACTTTAGTTAGTAATCTACCGAACGAAGTCAATGAGAACGCGTGATATCAAGGTTTGCACCCATTTTTCCCAAAAACAAAAGAAGCGCTCCGACCGAATCAATTTTTATCTTCATCCGATAGGCCGAAGTGAATTCATTGGCGTTTCAATGGCGTTTCAATGCGTTAGGCCGAGTTTAGAATCCGTAGGCCGAGTTTGGCGTCAAAAAGCAGTGTTAGACTTTTGACAATATCTCAACGATTGGTTTCTCTTTATCAAATCTTACGGTACGTACGGAAAGGTAAATAAGTTTGGAAGCCATTAGTAATAATAACATTCCGTTTGGTGCTAAACTGCGCTAGATTAAGAAAGACTAAGTGCGGGTTGTGCTTAATAGGCCGAAAATGGGGTAGTTAACCCTATATGTATGTTATTCATATTCTAATATCTGTTTGGTGCGTGCCACGTCAGAAATAACGAAAACAACCCAAGTAACCAAAAGTTCCGCATTCAACACTTCCAAGTTCCATAAAGTTCAAATAAAGTTCCGACAGAACTTTCAAGCCACATGAAGCAATCCGCACAAATCTTTTTTTGTAACAAAATTTAATGTACGTAAATATGAAATAATCAGTGGCCCGAATAAATCATAATTCTTATATTGATGCAACATTCCACCCAAAAAAAAGTAAGTTCCAGGATTCGAACCCGTGTATTCGGCATGTGATCTACAATTGCTGACCACTGCGCCACAAGTGTGATTGAATACCATGTGGGCAAACACCAATTTAAATTCATCAAGGTGTTGTGTTTCGTTCTCAAGTCAGTCAGCAGGCTCAGAAAACTCCAACAATAGGCGGGACAACAGCTCACTTTAATATATTTCAGATGACGTAGTGGTTCGTATTGAGACTCTCACGCAGAAGGACTGGGTTTAATTCTTCTAACAGCTCCATAACTAATACTAAATAATGCTGATAAATCAATACACATTAATACCTGCCTTTAGAAATAACCTTCACAAAACCTTTTTAAATTTATTTTCTTAAAGTTCCGTTCAAGTTCCGCCAGAGGCTGCTTAGAATGCTCTTCAATTATGGTACCGCAACTTTCAAATTCTTATAACGACTTAAAAATGAGGCTGCTTAGAATTCTATAGACCACCTTCAACCAAGGTGCTAGCCATAAATAGCCTTTTATCGGAACTTTTGATTACTTGGGAATCACTAAAGAAAAACACCCATCCCTGTCCCCCCGTCCCTCTTATTTCGGGTTAATTTTCTCACAGTTGAATAATCGTTTAATAAATGTACAATAATGTCATATTAAACGTTACTTCACATGAGAATCAACTGTATACAGAGCATCACTTTTTTAACTAAGGGGAAGCAGTGATGTCTAATCAACGCTGAATAATCAAAAATGATATCGAATAAGCTCTGTCACAATTCATATAATTCAATTAAAAGCTTCTCGACATATCTTATACAACACGCAATAGTTCAATGTTTTGTGGTTGAATAAATTCTCCAGATTTGTGTGATCAAAGGCTGAATAGAAGTTATTATTAAAAAAATGCAAGTATTATTAAGCATGCAATTGAATAAAATCGTCAAGAAGTCGTATCTTCAATAGACGATTGTTTGTTGGGATGTTCCCTTAACTTCTACGAATTTTCCACTTCTACGCAATTTTCAGAACTTTTTTTTTCAACGAATTTTTATGAAGATCTATGAAGTTCCCATAATGTGTACTAAGTTTCATCACTTTCTACGATATTGCCTGATTTTTTTAGAAGTCCTTGAAGTTTTACGAAGTTCCCAGAAATTAAAGAAAAATCCCTGGGCTCATGGCCAATTCATAGAGCCTAAAGACGTCTTATTATGCCATCGATATCATATAATTTCTCAAAATTGTTTCTTCTAATCCAGAACCTAAAAAAGTAGTCAACATGAAGGACTTTAAAAAAGTCTTTGTTTTTGGTTCAATATTATTAATCGCTGTTACATAGTAACATCGAACTTGACATGCTTGACAAAATACCGATGGGTCATAAAAAACACACAAAAATTTAGTGGGGGGGCTAGATAATTCTTGAGGGGGCCCAGCCCCCTTCGCACCCCCATTAGCTACGCCAATGTTCACAGGTGAATCGCGAAACAGTATGGAATCGACAATTCGACCGTGTTCCGTCTGGTGAAATCGTTCAAGGAGACCCAGACTACACAGTGGCGAGTTGGCAGCGGAAGAAAAGCGGAAACGACCGACCCCGTGAACGCAAGTAAGGTGAGGGATTACTCCAAGCGCAATCCGAATCTTTCGATTCGGAACGTGTCCAAGAAGGTCAATTCAGCGGGGCCGATGGTGTAGTGGTAAGCGTGATTACCTCTCACCCCAACAGGCCTGGGTTCAATCCCAGTTGGCGCAGCGGGAATGTTCTGAGGCATAACCAAGGGTTGAAACAACATTCTTATTTATGTGTTACACGTTAGCATTCAGTATCTTGATTTATTTGGCCAATACCTTGAATTACTAACCTTTCCGACATGTCTTTGGCCTTGTACATGTGTGTGAAAAGGTAAAGAAGAAGTGCGAAACAGTTACCGATTAGACGCCAAAATCATGTCCGGGACGCGGATGAAGATGTAAAAGTTATTAATTAAAAGTGGTTAAATAAATTGAATTCATCGATTAGCTATTATATTCATCATTGCTCTCGGCCGTCACAACAATATGACATCCGTCAAACTCGCCAGAACTTCGCCTAATAGAAAAATTCTGGGCGATTATGAAGGGCAAGCTCCGGAAAACAGTGAAGGTCTTCAAAAACGACAATGATCTGAAGAAAGAGTGTATGAAAGTGTGTAAGAAAGATGGCGCAAGTGTTGCACAGGATTTGATGGGTAGCGTTAAGTCCAAGGTGTTGGCATTAGGCTAGAAGAGGAGGTTGAACTTTGCCAAAACATAGCTAGTATGTGTTTATATATTCCCTGAGAGTTTAAAAAGTATCCGACTTAAAATTAATTTTTGATGATTATACACTGTGTTATGAAAATTATCCCTGTATTCCTGTTCATCAAATTATCAATAAAAAAAAACTAAAGTAAAATTATCCAAACAAACTCACCTGTAAGTGAATTGGCACTTTTTTCACTGGAGCAGGCGCAGCCATTGTCGTTGCAATATTTTCTCTTATACCAAAACAATAGTTTCACACAAACACACTGTTCTCCGTTCACTAGTTTCTTCTTTCTTCAGTATCTCACCCTTAATATCGATTTCATAAATGAATTGTTGTTCTCGGTTGTAACTGTGAAAAGAAGATTGATGTTTATTGATCGCAATTTCCGATAATCACGCACTTCAATTGCATCGACATAAACTTTCCCACCATTTCCCGCCACTTGGAACCCAGCAGAGCTGCATAAACATAAACCACTTAACAGACCCGTCGTATATTGAACCGTTTTCGACGCTTCACCGCCCTTTTCTGTTTGTAAGCACCACTTATGATTCGATTCTAATCCAAACACGCAGCTCACACACAATCGTTTAGTTTCCAAATAATTTCGACAAACACCACCGTCCGACACCGTCCACACCGGTTGGTAATAATCAAACACCTAACACATCATTACTTTTCGACGGAGATGTCGGTGGGTAATCGAAACAGCTCTTCTTTGCATGTCGGTGTAGGAAGCTGACCGCGACCCATTCAGAGAAGTGCGAGAGAAATGTTTGAAAAGCCTAGGAAGGTGGAAATGAGAAAAACTAATATTTATCGCACCTTCGTTCCAGTAGAGTTGCTGGTAATGTCCAATTTCGGTACTTTTGAGGTACCGTTTGCTTTTTGATGATGATGATGATGATGATGATGATGAAGAGTTGTAGACCCTCAGAAATCTTCAATGCGCCTAAAGAGGGGTCTGGTCAAGGTGAAATTGGATATTGGGTCTGTTGTTGGTTAAGATCGAGCCATGTTGCCTGGCTCCTGTCTGTTTACAGAAATGGGGAATGAACCACATCATCAATCTCAAGTAGTGCACGTCGATTTAATAATCGCTTTTCGGAACGTTATTCTAGCGTTGAGTGCTCTCGAGCCTATGTGCAACAGGTTAGAAGACTATTTACTGTTTTCCATCGTTCGGCTTGTACACCGCACCTGCTAGGTTCTGGTGGGTCACGGTCTGCTGAGGAACAGTTTGAACAGAAACTGTTGCACTTTGTACAAACTGTACTTACGCTTTACCTATTCAAGGAGGTTTTGTTTCGCAAAAAATTGCCCACCGTATAATTCAATTACTGGATGATAATGGAACCCTTCAACAGTAAATGGATCTAGTTTAACAGCACCGAGTAAAAAGTGAACAGGCATCAGGTGTTGTTATGGACGGCATCAGGCGGAAAGATCGCGCATATGGCAATCGGATACCTGGGGGAAGTATCGGATTGCTTCTTTGGCGGCGGGCAAACGCGCGAGCGAGCTATTCTTTTGGTAGGGTTAATTACCCCATTTCCGGCCTATTAAGCACAACCCGCACTTTGTCTTCCTTAATCTAGCGCAGTTTAGCACCAAACGGAATGTTACTATTACTGATGGCTTTCAAATTTATTTACCATTCCGTACGTACCGTAAGATTTGATAAAGAGAAACCAACCGTTGAGATATTGTCAAAAGTCTAACACTGCTTCTTGACGCCAAACTCGGCCTACGGATTCTAAACTTGGCCTAACGCTTTGAAACGCCATTGAAACGCCAATGAATTCACTTCGGCCTATCGAATAAAGATAAAACGTGATTCGGTCGGAGCGCTTTTTTTGTTCTTGGGAATAATGGGTGCAAACCTTCATATCACGCGTTCTCATTGACTTCGTTCCGTAGCTTATTAACTAAAGTATCGTACCAAACGCACAATTGACTTGTTAACTCTGAATTCAAGGATTTATTTGAAGTTTTCTGCTTGATAGGCCCAAAATGGGCGATTAAGCCGAAGTAGTTCTCTACCCTATATGTTGTCGCTGTGCTATTGCTGCGTGAGTAATTCGATAAATGGAAGTGCAGCCAAATTGGATCAACGCATCGAGCAAGACAACGGCGGTGACATTTCAGCCGGATGGTGCCGTTGGTTGCTCCCAATTTATTTCCGCTTCTGGAGTTTTATTGCGTGAAGTCATTGTTGTGGCGATGGCGGCTGTGCGGTCGATTAAGTGATCAAAAGTGACTGGAACATAATTGGAATTGGTACCTGTGGTAAACAGTTACAGACATACTGTTCATTTTGACGTAGCCCAAGTAACAAATCTAGAGCTGCTTGGCTAAATTCAAAATTTATAAAGGTTTTATTGCAGCTGCAACCATTACCTACAGCTTTATGACGGTCATATGCAATGCAAGTCATGGAACATTTTATAGCTATCTACAAAACCCATATAAAGCTTATAAAAACACCAACTGATGCTTATGCTATTTTCACTTATTAAAGGTTTTATGATTGCCTTGAAGTATTAAAAAAAGCAATATGAATTGCCCTTATAAAACCCAAAAATAATTCCTTATATTGCTATATAAGTAAGCGCAATAAAGCTAGTTGGCCATGAAACAGTTATTTTAAAACAATTATAAGCATTCAGTTGCAACTTGTCAGAAGTGTAAACATGCGGTTTATTTCTACAACATAGAAAAGAATCAAAACATTCCGGTATTTCCAAGCGGAGCGCAAAGAAAATCAACAAGATTGTTAGCATGAGCCCGTTTATTTGCTACAGTCAGCCGCAAACCTTCGTGAATAACTCCAACCAAGAAAATAAATGCCGCTGCCTTTTCTGCGGATGTCACAAGCTGTAAAGAGTGTGCTTCCTCACCATTCCGTTGGTCGAAATACATCGAATAGTGACAGTTCTAGGACAAAAAAGTTGAAATCACGCATAACTTTTCATAAAGGTTAATGTACCATTCAAAATTTTTCCAAATGTTTGTAAAATTCATCGGTTGCACCCGTAGAATAGGAATATACATTTGCCCTCAAAAAAAAAATGAATTGCTCTTGTAATATGAAAATAGTGCTCGTAATAAAATCATGCATTATGCTTTTCTGTTCTGCTTTCATTCAATGCACACTGGCACCGGGCCAGGAATGCAACCTAGCGGAGCAAAATTAATAACTCCGAAACGAAGCATTTCCGCGACTTGGTGTCTTGGGCATAGTTTCTCATCATAATAATGACCATCTATTTACATAAACAAATAGTTCAAAACTCTTCCGCAACGATGGCGCCACAATCTTACTTCTTTCTCTGACGTTTTGGAGACTTGATGTTTTGGGCAAAGTTGTTTATCTTGACAAAATGAACAGCTCTCTCAAAGACGTGAAATTTCCACAGCCTACTGGTTCCAAGCTATATGGAGTTAAAAAAAATGTCGAAAATATGTTTTTTTCTTTCTGTTTCGGTTTTTTGCTTACAACTATATAATGTTGTATTTTTCTCTTATGCAAATGCATTAATTAAATAACTTTTGTGAAGAAACATATTGGATTAAGCTTCAAATTTTAAAGATATTGTTGAAAAAACGAAAAAAAACAACAATTTTTGAGCTTTAAAATCTCCCAAAGCGCAAAAATTTGACATTTTCAGCAAAAATTAACCAATACTCAATAAACAAAATATTACAATTTGAGAGAGGTATATTTTGGTGTTTTTTAGATTTCTTCATTTTAGTGAAACATGATTTTTTGACGTAGACTACGTTTTACGGGAAGGTACTGGGGGTAAATCGAAAATCTAAAATTGCGACCGTCACAAAAAGGTGTAAGGTTTTGATCGCTTATAACTTTGTCATTTATAGATGAAATTTAAATTCAAATACACCAATCGATAAGAAATAACTTTCACGATCTGCTTAAATAAATGCTTTTCAATTTTTTTTTTCAAAAAAAATCGTTGAAAAATGTACAAATAAAAAATGATAATTTTATCACTGTTTCAATGAAATAAACGTTCTCCTCAAACCAAGTCGCCATAATCGAGTACCATTTGATTGCGCATCGTTTTGCTTGAACCTGTAAAAATATATAAGAGCGCTGCTGTCGTTACTCCGCTCATTAAAGATTCGGACGAAGCAAATCAGGAAAAGGTGGAATTTTTCGCTCTGCCTCTGCTGAACATTACCGCATTCAGGCTAGAGCGCTGCTGTTGTGAATCCGCTCATTTTTGCATTGGACGGACGGTGTGTTAAAATAGCAGGAGTCTGCGTGATCACCTTGATGACAACCAACGATGGGGTGGAGAGGATGTGGAATTTGTGGAGATCGAACAATTGGTTCTTTACACGCGCCATTAATAAAAAAAACGGCGTGAAATCCTTTTAGGGGCGGGGCTTAGAAAGTAGTTTTTGTGCAGAAATGTAAAAAGGAGGGACTTCGTACATATATATGCTTTACTGTAAGAACTGTCAAAATCCTATGAATTTACACGCTAGTGTTTATGATGATTTTGGGCCGTCCCTGTGTTGAAGTGGGATCCAGTGGGACGGTAAAACTTCATTCACATCTTTAAGTAGAGCTTTACATTGTTGTTTGTTACAAAATGCATGCACCAAGCGGATAAGCGTGTTTCTAGGTTGTGCTGTGTTTAGTTCGATCCAACAAAAATTGAACCTCTGAAAATGGGTTGGAGCCTCTTTGTGTACATGCAAGAATGGAAAAAAGCTTGTAGTTCTAGTTCTTCATTATGTGCTTAAGAGACGGATACATTCCTACGTTAAGCTATCCAATGAGCATTTAGAATTATGATCCTGCTTGGATGGACGAGTTTTTGATTGCTGGCAACTCTGAATATTAAATTTTGGATTATTCTGATGGAAAGAAAGTAAGGGGGCAATCTCCAGGACCCAACAAACCTGTTGAGTAATAATCCGACTAATAATGCGCCAAACCCCTGCTGTTATGTGTCGTGTGTCGTATGTTATCTTTATATAAAAAAAATCAATCCAAATTAGCGGACTTATTGGTTTTATGAGGGTACTGTAGACCATGACTTAGACCTGTAGAGTGCTTTAAAACCTCAATAGAACTTTCAATGTGGTAAATGATTCACTTTAAGTCTATGGAAACAATATTCTTGAAAATCTATGAAGAAAGAGCTGTCGCACGGCATGTTTTTGAGTAAAAACTCAATTGACCCCTACTACAGGTTCTCTTGGGGCATCCCAGTGGTTCCGAGAGCGGCCAATGTGGTCAATAATTCATTTGAAGTTTATGGAAAGCCTATTCATGAAAAACCATGAAGAATGAGCTGTCGCACGGCATGTTT